CTATTAATGCATTTATATTAAATTAAGTGACTATTTACAAGGCCCCCCCAAAATAAGCCAGAGCACCCCCAACTAAATTCCCCTGGAGCCGGCTCTGAGACCCCAGTTGTCAGGAGAAAATACAACAAGCAATAAGAAGTTAAAATGAAAAACTGTCCATCATCTGTCAGCCATAGAAAAGTGATCATTTCTTTAAAAAAAATGAGATTAATCGCGATTAAAATTTTTTAATCTATGCCCAGCACTATATTTTATATATACAACATTTTAATAATGACTGAAGGTATCATTGTGGTATAGAACTGAACTATGTGCCGGTAAATTACATACCACCCCCACACCCACACACAAACACACACTAAAGATGAAAATACACGTTGAAGATCTTTTCCCGTTGCGTGTTGATAGTAATCTGAACTTTCCGTCATCCTCTCACCTCACTGACACTTCAGATAATCACCTTTAAATCTGAAGCAAAAAGACAGAAACATGCAACTGTGTGAAAATTTGAGTTCAAATGTCATAAATAGTTTCAACTTCATGTTCAGTGTGATAATACCACCAATTTTTTTTAATTCCAAATTCATTTGTAAAATCACTAAGGAAAACATCACAACATAAATAAATGTTTTACATAATTTTATTTTTTCCCCCCCTCTTTTGAAGAGCAGCAGTCTGGAGATAACAGATTTTAGTTTCAGTTAAGTGAAGGTAATCAAGTGTTATTATTGAAAAGGACACAAAATACACTGAGTGCTTTTTACATAAAATCAAATGAAATATGATACATTTGTGTTTATGTCATTCAAATTTAAACTCTAGATTGTAATTAAATCATGAATGAGGTGGTTGATTTTAGTGTTAAAGCCTTACTTTAATATTGGAAATAAATTACTGCTTGCCCAGAAAAGATACATTTTAAAACAAAAAACAATATAAAAACTAAATTCTGTATTTTTATATCATTTCCAAAACTAAATTAACTATTAGCAACACTGCAGATAAAGTGTATTTTATCTTTTATCACTAAACTCCAGCCTAATGAAATAACTGAAGCTAAATTGTGCTATAAGTTGACTTCTTTTGAAGCAACATTTGCAGCTTAACAAAACAAACTTTTACAAAACTGTATTTTTGTTTATTTAAAAAAATCTTATTTGTTGCTTAAATTTTTTGAATCACAGGATAATTTGTAATGAAACTTCCAAAATATAATGGTGCAAATCTGTATTATTTGGAGTCAACAGAGTTCAAAATGGTTGCCACAGCTAAGCAACAATAACATGCAATAAAATGGTTAATCCTCAGTGAATTTTACAGATAGTAAGACAGAACTTGGTGTGATAGTAGCTGAGAGTAATTAAAAAGACATACTCTTAAGCATTTTGTACGTAGTGTTTTGTTTTTAAGATTTCACCAAACAGCTACAATTTTGTCATTTCTCAACACAAGATGATCTTACTGTAAATCTCTAGCATGAACAGAAGGCATGCAATGATTCATATAGGCTTTTTATTTTAAAAGGTTTTTCAATCGTCTTTAATTGTGAATCACCTTGTTTGGATTCAAGGAGACAGCAGTATTTATTTACTGCTAAAAAAAAGTCTAAAGTAAAAAAAAAAGAAAAAAAGGATTCAAGGAGACAGCAACAAAATGAGTTGACCTGAGAGTAAGTACCGGTAAATAATTTTAATAACAAATGTGTCATGCACAATGGTGCCCAGCCCACACAGGCTGACAAGACACATTAAAACATATACAAACAACAGGAAAACAGCAGAAACATTCTTCAAACAAAGTGTCCTCTTCCTGAGGTGCCAGACCTTTAAAATAAACTGAGCTAACTGAAACACAAAATACTTAAATAAATATTGCACTCAGTGGTGGCTGGTGGATTTTTCTCCAGGGGTGCTGCAACTCCAAAATAGACATATCTCAAAAAGTATTCACTAAGTTGTTTAACGGCAGTGTATTTATAAAATAAATGAAAATATTAATGTCATGCAGTGTTTTATTTATATGTTAAGTATATAAACTTTGCTCTTCTGAGAAGCAAATATCCTCATGACTCTGGATCATGGTGTGTGATGTTGTGTACCTGAGGAAAGTCTGGATTGTCTTCAGTGTTGAAGCTCCTCTCAGATTCAGCTGTGGTCAGAGGAGATGTGATGATGATGAGAATCTTCAGCAGAGCCACAATCTCTGAAGGTGTCCTGCAGATTGTTCTCCATCAAGAGCTGTTACAGATCCACATCTCCGCTGCAGCTCCTTTTTTTTTTGTGCTGTGACGTGCCCCTGTGTCATTTTACCTGTCTAATTGTCTGATGTCCTCTCCTTTCAGCTGATTGGCTGGGAGGATAATAAAAGGAAATGAGCTCCACCTGACAGATGAGCGTGCGGCCTGAGGGGAGAAGTTTGCTTGTTGGTCCAGCGCTCCAGCCTCGCCGCCGCTCCACTTTTCCTCCTTTGTAGATACCTGGTTTTGGCCTGAGAGTTGCCAGCCCCTTTTTTCCGGTTTTTGGTTGTAGGGTGAGACCCTGGACCGGAGGGCAAGGGGAGGTTGCCCGGATCTGACGGTCAACTGCTGGCTGGTTCGGGTTTTCCTCCCACCTCTTTTGTTTTGTTTTGAAGTGGGGCTTCCTTTGTTTTGTCCGTACAATAAATCTGAGTTCTTTTTACAAACACCTTTGTGACTGGACATTATATGTTGTGCGTCCTGGGTATCCTAGACCCCGGGACCGTAACATGTGCCACCTCAGTAGAAAACAAAACTGAATGTTAGTTTCTTAATTTCTGCATCATCAGTGGCTTTTTTATATATTACTATAGTAAGAAAGAAAAAAGAAAAAGTAGAAGAGAAATATAAGAACAGTAAAGAGAGAAACCGATAGAAATTATACAACATGTGAAATGAACACCAATAACACACAGGACACCACACCCGACATTTGACCATCACACACAATCAGGCACATACACATACAAACATTCACATATACACACACATACATGCATGCATGCATACATACATACCCACACACACACACACACACAAAACCCCCCCACACACATATACATACACATACTGTTTATACATCCAGTGATTGTCAGAAACCCCAGAATCCAAATATCTATTTTTGTGAGGTTGTGAACATGCATATAAATACAAGCTTTCTCCAGTGGAATATTAAATAGTGACTGTGGAGGACCACAGACCCGTACCCGTCCCCAAGACCCAAGGGGACTTGGGGACTTCAGCTCCCCCAAACATAAGGGGGACCAGAGCCACAGATCCCGAGAGAGACCCCAAGCACCGAGCCTCTAAGGCCACCTGCGCAGCAAGAACCACCCACCCACCCCCAGAGAGGAACACAGGAGAGAACCAGGAGAGCCCCACCAGCAACCACACGCAGAACCCACAGGGCCGCCACACTGGACCAGAACCAGGCATGGACACAGAGACCCAGATCCACAGGGTGCAACCCCCACCCCCCCCAGGCCAAGGCCCGACAGGGCCAGAGGACCCAAGCCCCACCAGGCAGCCACCAGGCCGAGCTGGCACATGCCCAAGCACCCAGCCCCAGACATTGAGAGCCACCAGCACACCGGCGAGCAGAGGCACACCCCACCAGAGGGCAGTGCGGCCAGGGGCAGAGCCCACCACTAGCAGAGGGCTCTCAGGTGAACCAAATGAGGGGGCAGCCCAAGTCCCAGCCTGACAAATACTCAATCATACACAAACACAATCACACAGTCCCCACCCTCATTCTCACACACTCTTTCAAAGACAGACAAGAAGAACACCACACCCCATTCACACTCCAGATACACACTCTATACCCTCCAGGTCCAGGACACTTACCCACCCCCTACAGAGGGCAGGCCATATCCGAACCCAGGAGGCAAGCCCATTCATTCTGGGGTGTGGAAGAGCAGACAGCCAAGGCCCAGCCCGGGCTGCACCAGGCCAGCCGGTCAGCCCCCCGCCACAGCGAAGCAACACCACTGACTACCCCCACACACCGCCAATGGCCAAGTGCACACCCCCCAGCCGACCACCAGCCAGACCATGGCAGCCACCCCAGCCAGCGGGCTAACCATGGCAACCAGGGGCCACAATCCGAGAGCCCGAACAACCCCAGGGAAGACAGACCGCCAGCCAAAGCCCTCGGCACCCCTCCAGGATCTCGAGTCCATCCGCACCAGACGGTCCGCCCCTAACTGAACCCCCCCKCCAAATGGCCATCACAGAGCAGGGTAGGTCAAGAGAAAAAAAACAAAGACTCCGACACACACACCCCCACCCCCAGATGCGCTGTTGATGCATGTTGTTCTAAAGTGCAAATAAAATTGATAAGAAGAGGGGCAGAGGCCAGCATTGTGCCAGTTTTCCCTCCACCCCAACTCCAACCCAAATAGGCCCTAAGTGTCCACAAGCAACTCTTGGGGGTGGACGCAGGTGCCAGCGATGAGAGTGATTCCCTCTTGCCCCTTGTCTGCCATAGAGTGCCCACCCCAAGTTCCTATATGTGAATGTCCTGAGGATGTTGTAATTTAATGTCTAAAGTGCATAGTAAAATTGGGGCTCAGGTGGTTATGGCAAACTGAGATGTAAAACTGTTGCTCTTGCAACACATCTGCTCCCCAAAACCCTACATGAGTGGAGTTGAAAGTGAAGGGGGTGAGGGTATGTGGTGAGGGATGGGGAGAAAAACAACTGAGGGAGCAAACTGCTCCCAGTGGGAGTCAACTCCCCCACTGACCTCGTAAGGACCCCCCGCTCCCCGAAACCCACTCAGGGAGTGAGATCCCAATACCACCTCCACTAGACCGACCGCCAGGCCGGGAGAGCCCAAGGCCATGGACAAAACAGAGCCCACGGGACCACCAGAGAAGGGGACCACCAATCCATCCACCCCAGAGCCATCCAGACCCCCAAGATCAGACGCCCAGTCCCACAGCCAGCCTGCGACCAACAGAGGCCACTGAACCCCAGCAAGGAAAGTTCGGCTGAGAGTGCCCACCCAGCCGCCGGCAGCGCAAGGAGGCATCCAGAGCAAGCTCCGCCACCACTAAGGGACCAACCAGCCACTCCAGCACAGGACCCCAGCCGCCACCAAAGGCCATCCACACATCCCTCACCCCAGAGGAAATACTACACCCACCCCAACATTCGTACAACTCTCAGAACACATGGCACACTAGACACCCAGGCTGGGTCGACCCACCCCGTCCATGGGTCACCAGCCCCACACCCAGCCACCACCATCCCCCGGCCCACCAGTCCACCGAAGGCTCCCAGCCCAGAGCCGGGCACCCGGGCACAAACCGGCCCACAGCCCGGCAACCGCCTGCCAGGGCTCAAGCCCCCCAGGCCCCACCAAGACCATAGGCCAGGGGTGGTACGACCCCAGGACCCTAAGCCCCCCATGCCCACCCCAGCACAGCTCAACCACCGGATCGGTGACCCATGATCGCTACTGCAGATCAGCTGAGGATCTGCATGTAGCCACCAGAAGGTCCCCCCCAATCCCCCAATGCCCTCCCCCGGACGAGAGTAGGGTCGCCCC